GCTGTGAGACTGAAATTTCAGGAGAATGTTTTATGTCTAGCAGAGACCTCACAAACTCAAACTTAGTTTCCAAGTATGCCGATGTTTCACATACGACACGTGAGAGTTTTGGTGCAAAAGTGACTAGTACGGAAGCCGGAAACTAGGAGGTTGAGATTTGGAAGAATGTTTTCCGTCCAAGGTTTCAAATTCATCTTTTATATACCGGTACGTCAAATTTTTGGAAATTTTTGCAGCTTAGGGGCCAGACGACATGTCGACTATTTTTGCGCACATGAAAGTGTAAAACAGTTAAATTTTTAGCAGCAAGCGTCCGTTGGACGAAAGTGCGTAAAACGCTCGATCGCATCAGCTACCCTGACTTGCGCCTCTTTTTATTTTTTTTACTTTTTGCTGAACATTGAACACTCTCCTCCTTTTCGCGGATTCTGTCACAACATTGCAAAAAAGCAGTTGTAACTTGTAGCTTTGTTTTTGTAATTGCAACTTATTCTCATTAGTTCACACCGCAGTTCAAAATTTTAACAAATCAGTGATTTCAGTAGTAGTTCCTTGGGCACCTTTAATTTTGTTTCTGGAAGATGTCTCATTTATTATCAAGATATTTTTGATTGCCAGATGAAAAATTAAAATCTTCATGCTCACATTCTAGAAAAGCAAAGACACTCGGAAGTAATTCGTGTACTAGTAAGGGCAAGCAGTAGCCAGCCGTTTTGAGAGGTACAGTACTTCCTTCATTTGAGGATTGCTAGGAAACAGGCCGATGGCGGGTTTGATAAAACTCTGGCATTTTTTGTCAGTAATTTACCGTCGAAACGAACGAGCGAACAAATCAGAGAGAGGCTGATTTTCGCACGACCGGAGTTGTATCTTTGATCTTCTCCAGGTGAGCAGCGCTACTGGCCACCAGCATAGTCCGTTATGTGTTTGTTAATGTTCCAGAGCGTCATGCAAGAACTATTCCAGTATATTTATGATGCACAGGGTATCATTTCGGTTCTGGAAGCGCTTGTTCTTTGGATGGGCGAAGGATATTTGAATGTTTCACCGAATGGTTCGT